CATTTATTTTAGTGGATGTATATATATTCGAGAGAACATTATGAAGTGAAAATAAGGTGGAATAGGATAAATTGGCAGCTCCAATCAACTTCGATGTTGAGCTATTCCAATAAGAGTGAAAAAAAATTAAAGAACGAAATTTTACATTGTGCAATATTACGTGAAATTCTGACTTTGGACGATTGTGAACACAAGTATTCTCTGAAAATAAGAGATGTGAAGATTTATCGTCAAAGTCTTTCTAATGCATAAAGTTAATAGAGGATAACCGGGGAAAAGGTATATGTTGAAATGGATAGAGATGTGTACTTTTTTGGAACGCTAGAAATCATATTTTATGGAACAAATACTAGTTCGATGGGAATTGTGCCGGTTCTAAACATTGCATATTCTATGTAAGTTGATGATGAACTACTAATTATATGGAACTACACATTTCGTTATACGTATCTCCCGTTGTTTGTCAAACAGTAGTTGACTGGAATTAGGTAAGTGTCTCGGAGGTTTTGCATGATTCTCTTGCAGCTTCTTCTGATTTAGCCACGTGGTAGTTATCAAAGGACCATTTTTGTTTTTGGTCATGGCCAAATTGTGATCGTGAGATTGTGTCGATCTTTTTTTGGTATTCGGTTTATTTTGTACAATAGTTGAACAAGATTAAATCCCAGACTTGCCTCGAAGCCCATTTCATTTTCGTCCCCTGGTCCCGTCCTTTGATTTAGTAAAGAATAACTCTCGAGGTTCATGAAAACTATATAAAAAAAACACACACACACACAAATATTGTGATAACACATGCCAAAATCTTAATTTAGTCAATAAATCAATCATTCCAGTGTGTTGTTTAGCATTTTAATCTGTGTTCAGAAAAAAGGAAAAAACAAAAAAAAGAATGAAGTTTGTGGTAATCTCTATTAGACAAGTTTAATCGACTATGATGTTTACGTATAATTAATTATTATTGAAAACGAAGTTTGAGATTTTGAACTTTAACCCTTTTTGGTAGAAATTATTTAATTTCTCAAAATTCATTTTCAATTATTTCATGTAAGAGTTTTGAGAATGGCCCAAGTTCGTTTCCAATTATTTTTAATAATTCGACAAGAGGTGCTAGTTTTAAGCATGAAAAATGTATATGTGTGTGTAATTATTAGACTTTTATGGCGAGAGCTAATAATGAGTTTTATTAACAATTATGGCATTTCAGTTGAATTGCTAGGTATAGGCTCGAGATTGCTAGCCTAGGTTAGAAAGGGCCTCCTTTTTGTGTAGAGACAAAAATATATTGTATGTAACTTTTCGTTAAAATGAAAATCGTTAAAGGCCATTTGAAATCATAAAAGAGTTAGTGAATGAAATGACCAACAACAGAATCATCAACATTCGTCGATAATTTGTAAGAAATTATTAACATAAATACCATTAGTTATTATTGATGCACACCTAACATCGATCGCTAATAGCATTGTTGGTCATGACGTCGTCGACCATCACCAAAGGATATTTGGTACTTGATTGTTGCGATTATTATTTTTAAATATTTTTCAAGGTGGTCGTCACATACGCCTCAATGAAATTTAATTTATCAAAATGTTCTAAATTCATGACAGATTGGAAGAATTAAACGATAATTTGTGCTATGTGTGAATTCAGTTTGTCACGTAGACATGTCCAGCCAAGTTAACTAATGAAATCCAACGAGTGAAGGATGAAAAATATTTTGGTAAAGTTCCCCAATATTCCAATAACAAAGTTCAATGAAGTTCTCGTAGCTCGATTCAAAGTTCGTTTATCTTCAGAAAAGTTAACTTTTCATCACCCCAAATATGGAAACTACACGTAGCTTAGTTTCACTGGTCCAGCCCATAAGAACAGGTGCTTTGAAGTGGGCCATCTCTTTCTGGGCCCACAGCCCAAAACACAATTGATAAGACAGAAGTGGGAGGAGTGATAGCCCAATCACTTCATATGTCAATTGTCAAGCATTTGCCGAAAGAGCCTCCACACGAATACCATCACTTTGTGTTATAATAACCAAAATGCCCCTCAAGAATGTCACCTAAGTCTTATCCTATCTTCAAATAATTTTTATTTTCCAATATTACCCCCCAGGTGTCAATTGTTCTACGTTGATTGACCTGGGTTCTTTTGTCTTTTCAAGTTTGTTGGTTTGGTTTCTTTTGGACTAAACAAAGGAGAAGACAAACTCTTTCAAATAGTACATCTCAACATCAAAGTCAAATTCATCATTGGTGAAGCTTTCACCTTGAAATTGTAATTATTTCAGGGTCAAAAATCTTTCAAGTATTTACTTTTATGTTTACCTTACCTTTCTTTTCTATCAACTACTTAGCTAAACATCGACATTCGAGTCGATGACTATGCTCTCTATCACACATTCCATGGAGTTAAAACAATCACGTTTGTTGTACATCGAGATTTGTACTTTTATTTATATAATACCACACGTCATTATCTCATTTGACAGTTTATAAAAAAAAACTGTTATTTCATGCACTTATTTCTTGACAAGACATTAAGTGTCAACATAAGTGTACACAATTAATGTACAAATGACATAACCCGAGTCTTGATTAAAATCATACTCGCAATGTGTTGACGATATTCTGTCTTATTTGGTTTGAATAAAAATCAGGTTTTTAGTATATTTTGATAAAAGTTGATAGATTGATTTTTATTTTTATAAAAAACTTCTAAGTTCTCACATTACTTGTGATAGAAGTTCTAAGTAGAGATCTACCAACTTTTTCAATTAAGGAACTACCGTTGAAGTTTGACAAAAGTAGGAAAGTTAAAAAAATAATTTAGCCCGTGTTTGGTTTATATTAAAATCAAATAAAATTTTTAGGATAAAGTCAATAGTTATTTTTAATCGCACATTTCATGGCATTCCCAATTTTTCAACCATATATTTAATTAACTTTTATTAAAATCTACTAAAAAATCAATTTTAAGTGATAATATACAAAAATATATTTCATTAGTCACGAACCATTATTGATATACACTTTTACATATGCAAAATGTGTAAATTTGCATCTATTTATTCATAAACAATTAGAAATTTAATCTATTCCTATTATTAATTATTAAAAAGATTCTCAAAATATGGTAACTTTGCAATAATATTTTGGGGACAAAAAAAATAAGAAATAAAATGAATATTGTCCCATCTAGAAACTTTAGTGTTGTAAACTCCTCCTCTACACATAACACCTCGAGGATGTACCATCACGTGGCCTCATAATTGGAGATACTATTCTAGATATTACTTTCTTAAGTAGCGTTCATCTTATATTAAGCACTGATAACATGTCATATAAATTAATTAGTAGATAAATTTATGGTGAGCCTCAATATTTGAATGAAATTTAGAATTCACCAATAAATTTATATGACACGTTGTCGATATTTAACGTAAGATGAGCACTACTGCTCATTAGATTATTCTTGTTACATTTTTTCCGTTTAAAATTATAAAATTCATTTGAAGATTATATTTAAATAAATAAGTACGATTCCTTCAAACGAGTTAAGTCTCTAGGCAGAATATTGAGGTTTAGGTCTCATATTCATCTATTAAAAACTTATGTATGTACCATACTTGGATTAAGAAAATGATTTGAGCAGTTGAAAATCAAAATGAAATTTCTTGTGTACTTTTCCTCGTTGTTACTATCATGCATACACTTCTCCATACCTCGTCTTAATTTCAATATTGTGGAGTCATCATGTTAAAGATTTACAAGTGACGAGACCTGGAGGAGGTGAAGGTAAAATCGTCGATTTGAGATTTGCCGACTTGAAAGTGTATAAAAATGTTTTTGAAGTATAAAGAGTGTGCATAAAAGGTGGCACGAGTGATTTATGATTAGGACAATTACCCTTTATAAACATGCAAACATTAGAATTTCCAGACTGGCATAAGCATGGACTTTTTCTTGATCGTAAGTAGAAAAACACTTTTCGACTCTGTTTAAATATTATTCTTCATTTTTGTACGCTATTCATGCAATAATTATTAAATTAAATTACTATGCTTATCTTTTCTAGTATTTTTCTGGGAATACTATGTTTGGAGATAGTGGCATGGTGCAATCATACATTTTTACCACCTTATTCCCCTCATCTATCTTACTTTCGTAGATTCTTGTTTCATAGTGTTCATACGAATCAAAATTCTGCTTTCCTTTCCCTATCTCAACGTGGGCACATTATCTATTGCTTCCCATCATTAGTCTGTGAAACTTATAATTGGCTCATTTGACAGTCGAATTCTTAAAACTCAACTCCTAGATTTGCAGTCAGATTCTCTGTTTTATGGGTTGCTTTTTTTTTAGTGATTTCATTGCTATTCTTACAAGAATTTCTGGTTAGTTTTGTTTTTGCTCGTTTCTCTATCTGGGATTTTGAAAACAAAATTCTAATTGAAAAAAGCTGGAATCTTGGGAATTCCTTGATTCTTTCTTCGTGGGGTTTGAAGGAATTCTTATCTTCCCAAAATTCTTGGTCTTTTGGACACAAATTTGAAGAATTTTGGCTGGATATGATAGTACGATCGTCTTTATTTTTCACTGATTTTAGTGGTTTATAGTTCTTTTTGACAGTGGGAGGTGGTTATAAGTATTTGATAAAAATAGCACAATTTCATACAATTTGAAGCGAATTTTCTTGTCTAATCTATTAATTAGATGAATTTACTTAATTTAATTGGATTTGGGTTGAAGGTGTGGCGTCTGGTTTTGATGCTATGTTGCTGGTGTTTGCCTCTGATTTCTTATACTCGGTTAAGTAATAATGGTGGAGTGATGGGCACCAAAAGTGGTTTATTTAGTGATGAAGGGAAAATATGGATGAAATTGTGGGAACATATTTCACTGTGTTTCTACAAGATTCGCCATCATTATTCTCGGCATATTGGGTCGAGGAAAAACTGGTGGAGGAAGCTTTTAGGGGCGTGGATCGTGTTTTGGATCCTAATGGCTTTCGGGATATTCTGGTTTATGAGTTCCCAAGCGGTCGAGAAGAGGAAAGAAGCACTTGCTAGTATGTGTGATGAGAGGGCTAGAATGCTGAACGATCAATTCAATGTTAGCATGAATCATATTCAGGCCATGTCGGTTTTGATTGCAACCTTCCACCATGGGAAAAACCCTTCTGCTATTGATCAGGTATAATTATTCGTTGTGTTGATCAAGATCTTTGTTTGTTCGAGTAAACTAGTACTTGTCAATTGATTGAGCTTTGATCCATGTCTCATACTCATTTTAAGATTTCTATATCCATCGGTTAATGTTATTTTTCCTTAATCCTCATAATTTATACATTTTGCACGCGTTTGAGTATACATGCACTCGATAGGACTAGACAACAGAATAACAAGACTTAGCTAGCTCAATACTCTTAGTACCATTTTAGTCCTACATACCAAATATCTCTAAGTCCATTTTATTTTTGGTAAGAGGAAAGGAGCTTAGAAGATTCGATAAAGTTTTGAAAATTCTTTTTCTCGTAACCTTCGGTCCTGTAAATTAACAATTGAACTGTAAAAACATGCAGAGAACTTTTGCGAGCTATACAGAAAGAACAGCATTTGAGAGGCCTCTTACTAGTGGAGTGGCATATGCTGCAAGGGTTCTCCATTCCGAAAGAGAGCAATTTGAGATTCAACAAGGATGGACTATTAAGAGAATGGATAGCGTCGAACAAACCCCAGTTCACAAAGATGAGTACGATCCAGCAGACCTCGAGCCATCACCGGTGCAGGAGGAATATGCCCCTGTTATCTTTGCACAAGATACTGTCGCACACATTATATCTATTGATGTGCTGTCAGGAAAGGTGATTTCTTATTATCACGATCTATGGTTTGCTTAATACTTGAATTTGGCCAGCTTTCAGCCATATTGAGCTGTTGAAATACACATGCTGAGCCACCTAATCTAAAATCTTAAGCTATTAGAAATGGAACTCTTTTATCCACTTAAATTTAGTCTTCAACACGTATCTTCAGATATAGGCTAGAATTATTTTTCCATTGAAGGACTGACCACTTCATTAGCTGCTTCACAATCCCTGCAGCAGCAACTAACAAATTTAGAAGCTCTCCAAAAAACTTTCCGTGGTCAGCATAAAAAAGGAAGAAGCTTCATCTAGTCAGCTGTCAGTTAAACTCATGATTCCTGCCTCCTTTGACATCATCTAAAAGCTTAAGTTGTTAGAAAGGTGACATATTACTTACATAAAGTTAGTCTTTATCAACTTACATAGTATTTCTGCATAATCGATGAAGTATGACGTGAAAATCAGCAGTCATGCCATTTTAAAGTTCCACATTTGCCTTTTACTTGCAGAGTGATAGTGGTTATATCCATTTCTGAAAGGCTATTGTTAGCATTGTTTATCACATATTGTCTTATTTTAGAAGTTGAAAGGAGAAATAGAGAAAGAAAAGACGAGAAAGACATTGTAACATAATCAATGTTAACAGGAAGATAGTGAGAATGTGTTGCGTGCGAGAGAATCAGGAAAGGGCGTCCTCACTGCACCTTTCAGGCTACTCAAAACAAATCGCCTCGGAGTAATACTGACTTTTGCTGTCTATAAACGAGATCTTCCGTCTTGTGCAACCATAAGTGAAAGGATTGAAGCAACTGCCGGGTATATGACCTACTCTCACATATTCTTGTAGATAAAAACTGTTTCCTTTCTTGTTTCTATATCGTTTCATGCTAACATCCCCATACCGACTTCCAATGATTCTTGTAAATAAAAACAGTTTTCTTTCTTGTAATGGCCCCATATTGACTTCCAATGTTTCTTATTCACTCAAATATAAAGAAATACATTTTCTGACATAAGCTGGATGTGGCGAGGATGTTAAATAATAACTATCTCTATGTTTTTACTTCTTCCATGTAGATATTTTGGTGGAATCTTCGATGTTGAATCCCTTGTAGAAAAACTACTTCAACAGCTTGCTAGCAAACAAGTTATCCTTGTGAATGTGTATGATACTACTAATCTCTCCAATCCGATTAGCATGTATGGTTCAAACATATTGAATGATGGGATGAGTCATGTGAGTGCACTTAACTTTGGAGATCCATTCAGAAAGCATGAGATGCATTGCAGGTGACTTAAATTATCTCCTCTTTGAATTTTTTCTCAGCTTTGTCTTATCATTGCTTGCTAGGGTTAAAAGCACCGTTACTCTCAACTTGTAGTGAAGTTTAATATTAGGCACTGAAGTTTTTTCTTGAAGACAATGGAAGTTTATTTTGTTCTAAAGTGGTCACCAAATATTGCCTCATGGTTTCAGCTTGATCACTCAATTAAAATTCGTCAGTTTTCATAAAAGAATACAAATCTGATGTAGTGTCAACATGGAGATCTTTCATGCTAGACATCTGTTAGACAAACTACTGGAATTGAACTGAGTGACTAAACTGAAACAAAATGCAAACTTTAGCGACCACGTTGGAACAAGATAAAGGATAGTGACTAACATTAAAGTTAGCTGTAAGTTGGGTGATTAACAATGTTTCCCCCCTTTGCTAGGTTCTTGAGTTTCTGATCAGTTGATGCCACTTACAGTGGAAGTGTTATCATGACTATCAGATTACTCAAAGAAGAGATATCTGTTCAAAATTAATCATGGTTCTCATATCCATAGTTTCTTGCTGATTGGCACCTAGGAAAGAAGCCTCTGTTTGCTCTTGATTGTGTTTCATTCTATTTACATAGATTCAAACTAAAACCTCCATGGCCGTGGGGTGCAATAACTACTTCGAGTGGCATTCTTGTTATTGCATTGCTCATTGGGCAAATATTCCATGCCACAATGAACCGGATTGCTAAAGTTGAGGATGATTACCATGAGATGATGGAGCTAAAAAAACGTGCAGAGGCTGCAGATGTAGCAAAGTCACAGGTATTTGCTTCTTTTACTTCATCCTCAGAAGTTACTAATAAATCCTCATGTGCAAAGCATATAAAACCAGTTGGTTGTACTGCAGTTTCTTGCTACTGTTTCCCATGAAATCAGAACCCCAATGAACGGTGTCCTTGGTTAGTGTATTTATTTCTTCTTCACTTGGCAATATATTTCAGCTTCTCACGTCTCATTGAAATCACAATCCAGAAGATTGATGACAATTTAACTCATTTACTCTTCCAGGAATGCTTCATATGCTTATGGATACAGATTTAGATGAAACTCAAGAAGATTATGTAAGAACTGCTCAAGAAAGCGGTAAAGCTTTAGTTTCTCTCATAAATGAGGTTTTGGACCAAGCAAAGATTGAATCAGGTAGACTTGAGCTCGAGGCAGTGTGCTTTGATTTGAGGGCCATCTTGGATGATGTTTTATCACTATTTTCTGGAAAATCACAAGAAAAAGGAATCGAGGTAAATTATAAATCAGATTTCTAGCTTGGTCAACTGGTTGTTTTTATCAGCACTCTGATTTGGATCCCTTTTATCTGCCTGATTTGCTTCCTTTATACAATTGCATGAACAGTTGGCAGTTTACGTCTCTGATAAAGTCCCTGCAGCACTAGTTGGTGATCCAGGAAGATTCCGACAAATTATTACAAATTTGATGGGCAATTCAATCAAAGTAAGAGCATGTTTTTATTTGATCTTTCCTGTTGAACAAATTTAGCTGAATGTGCATGAGTATAGAGTAGAGGACAGCTATGCATGGTCGACCTTGTGAATCTATTAGCAAAAGCACAGAAAATTTAAACCGTAAATGTACTGAATTTTCATTCATTATTTTTCATGGAAATTTTAGATTAAGATAATTAGCTCAAATTATGGTAAAAGCCCTTTGTTATTTATTGTGCTGTAAAAGAAAAGTTTTATGCTGCTTGTACACGTCACTTCTGTTTGATAGTAAACTAATGATTTGTTTATTCATAGTTCACTGAGAAAGGACACATATATGTGACTGTCCATCTTGTTGAAGAAGCTGTGAATTTGATGGAACTGGAAATGGAATCACCTTCAAATAGCACTTTCAGTGGGTTGCCTGTAGCCGATAGATGGCGAAGCTGTGCAGGATTTAAAGCTTTTAGTCGGGAGGAATCTGTTCCCACGTTTTCCTCATCCTTGACTGACCAAGTTAATCTAATTGTATCAGTCGAGGACACGGGTCAAGGCATCCCGTTAGAAGCTCAATCTCGTGTATTCACCCCATTCATGCAAGTTGTCCCCTCCATAACTAGAACGCACGGTGGCACGGGTATTGGACTAAGCATAAGCAGGTGCTTGGTCCATCTCATGAAAGGTGAAATCGGATTTGCAAGTTTGCCGCAGATTGGATCCACCTTTACTTTCACAGCGGTTTTCACTCGTGGCTGTTCCAATGTCAATGATCAGAGGAGTCAGCAAATCAACAACCAGTTGAAGTTCATTTCTTTAGAATTCCAGGAAATGAGAGCTTTACTTGTGGACCCCAGGCCCACCCGTGCGAAGGTCTCTGTATATCACATTGAGCGACTAGGAATCCGAGTTGAAGTAGTTCGTGATCTGGATAATGGTTTCTTTAGCAAAAATACAGAAAACTCACCTCCAAACATGGTTTTCATTGAACAAGAAATTTGGGACAAGGATTTAGCCTTGTCGACTCTCTTTGTCAACAAATTAAGGAGTCTCAATTGTACGGTTACTCCTAAACTATTTCTTTTATCTGGTACAATAAGTTCTACTCGAGCCATAGGTTCCAGCGTTTTCACTCCATCTGTAATCATGAAACCGCTGAGGGCAAGTTTGCTCACTGCGTCCCTACAGCACTCCATGGGTATCAGAAACAGAGGAAATCATCGCAATGGGGAACTTCATACATTGTCCCTCAGAAATCTCCTTCGTGGTAGAAAGATTTTAGTAGTGGATGACAATTTGGTGAATCTCAGAGTTGCTACAGGTGCCTTGAAGAAATACGGTGCTGACGTGGTCCATGCAGAAAGGGGCAAAGAAGCAATCTCATTGCTAACTCCACCCCATCATTTTGATGCCTGTTTCATGGATATTCAGATGCCAGAAATGGATGGGTAGTCATCACACAATCCCTATTTGCAGTATATTTGATTGCATTATAGCTTTAGCATTATGTGGATTCAAGTGATTTCCGTTCTCTAGTTGCTGTTGCACTATATAAAGCCTAATTTTATTTTCATTTACCCCTCCACCGCGAATTTTTCTTCTTCTTATTATTATAGAGGTATATTAGGCATGCATATTTCTATTAGGTTCCTCTAGTTTCCTATTATACATAAATAAACATGAGGGGACCATTTTATATAGATACAGAGTAAAGAGGCACAAGATCCCTACTGTGAGCTTCTTGATAAACCTGCAGCGAGTTGATTGAGCTCTCACTTTGAGGCGAATCACTATGACTTGTGCATTTTCTTTGCGTTAAACAAGTTTACGTGTTGGTTGTTAAACTGGTAATTTTATGTTGTGTATAAATTTTGAATGGTGGTTATACACCATACTTAGGCTGCACTTCTCTTTCTTGTATTGATATTCTGTGAGTCTTCTGTTCACATTTGCAGTTGAAATTTTAGCTATTTACAATTTAAAGATTCCACAGGTTTGAAGCTACAAAGAGGATTAGGGACATGGAATCTAGTATTAATAACCGTATCCATATTGGAGAACTCTCTTTAGAAGCTTATAGAAATATTTCGACCTGGCACATACCCATACTGGCCATGACAGCTGATGTAATTCAAGCTACAAACGAAGAATGCCTGAAGTATGAAATGGATGGCTACGTCTCCAAACCTTTCGAGGCCGAGCAACTTTATCGAGAAGTTTCACGCTTTTTTCAGACATCGTCCAATGAGAATCCTATGACGGATGTTTTGTTTGATGCGGACTGTGTTACGAGCATGAGCCCTAGCCCTGTTCCTCGTGTCACCTTGGAGTCATAAATTGGCTGTAAGTATTTTCCAACTTTGACCACATAATTCGAAGGGTCTGTGTTCATGATCACGAGTCATTCCCGTAATTGCTAATCTTGACAAGAAATGCAGCATGATGTATATGTGAGAACTTCATTAGAACAAAATAAGATGATGTAATTACTCATCGGTGGTGGTGTGTATTCATTGTAGTGAATGAACAGCAATAATCTTTTAATAGTCTATATGTAGTGTTATTACTGATTCGTATAGTGGTCGGTATTTAAAAAAGAAAGAATTAAGCTAATGTACACTCATGATGTACATGTCTCCTGTTTGACGACCATTATTTAGGTAAGAGTAATGCTATTTATCATCATGATAATGAAATATCGGTGACGTTGCAACCCATTATCTCTCACATTTTTCTCTCTTCTCCCCCTCTTTCACAAAACTGAACTACCAAATCTCATTATTTCGTATAGACTGTGACATTATCGATATTCTATTATCACAATAATAAATAACATTATTCTTTAGGTAAAATGGAGTTTTGAACAGTGATTTCTTAGAGAATATAATTAAAAAGTAGGAAAAAATTTTAGGTTTACGTGCAAAATATTTTATTCTTTAAATGTGATTGAAAATGAGTATATGAAGTTTTTATTTTTGAAATAATGATTGTCAAACAAGGGCTTAGTCGACACTCTCCTATGTGTCAAAAATCTTGTCATTGTTGAGAAGTGTTAAAATCATGTACAAAAATCTAACTCACATGGGTGTTAAATTAGATATCAACCTAGCACGTTGAAAAAAAAAAGGTTAAGATATTGTGTTTATTTTATAGTGGTGCTGCTATTTGAAGATCTCGATTAAGTTGGTAGTTTATATGCACCGAGGGCATCCATTTTACTTCTAAAGAGCCTTGAGGTGAAATTCACATCCAGAACTCTCATTTGTTTCTGTTAGTACTTGTGATTACAACTGGCTTTTGTTTGGTGAAAATTAAAATCAAGATTTTAATCAAAGTCAATCATTAATTTTAATCATATATTTTATGAGATTCACAATTTTTCGACCATACATTTTATCAATTTCTATCAAAATCGACTGAAAAATTGATTTTAATTTTCGCCAAATAGGGCTCTAGTTTATAAGGCATTTTAGGAGGCGGGTTTTGTGATTAAAAATTAGTTTAACTAAAATAACTTGGTCTACATAAAGCATAAGTCGATATGTCCGAGTGGTTAAGGAGACAGACTTGAAATCTGTTGGGCTTCGCCCGCGCAGGTTCGAACCCTGCTGTCGACGTTTCATTTTCTGTTTTGAACATTTTGAGAAAATTTCAGTGAGAACCCTAACATTTGCGATAAAGTGCAAATGAGTCCCCCAGTTTGAATTTAGGTTTATCCCGACTTTACTTTTCTGAAGATATTATTTAGGCAACACGATTCGCTCAATTTTATTTTTGGGTAAATCTTCGTAAAGTCACCCAACTTATAGATTTATTTCATGTTGACAACTTTGATTTGCTTTAATTTGATTACCTAAATGTCATTTTTGTTTTTGTTTTACCTTCCATGTGTAGCCGTGACCAAAACCAGTAACCTATCTTACGTGGCTAATAAATGCGTAATTTAGAGCTTTTTTGTCACTTAAAATTACCAAACATATCGAAAACTGATCGAATAAAGATAAATTCAAGATTACAAATTGACTTGTCCAAATTTTCTTTACTAAAACTAATGATATAATGTTAAACACGCCGTTCCGACAAACATATTAGAAAAGTAGAGCAAATCAAAATTAATATGATGACATGTTTTAATTGTTAAGGATCTAATTGCATTGAATTTTCGAATAGATCCAACACTAAATCAAACAAAGTGACAAAAAACATTCATATAATTTAACTGAAGTTTACTGAAAACAAGGCTTTTGGTTTTGTTCTTATATACAAAGGGGCACATCGCTATGTTCTTAAGAAAATGAATTTTGCTACAAAAATAGGATTAGTGACAAGCATAAAAACAAGTGAGACACGTGTCATTCAATGAATTGACGGTTAAAAAAAAAAAAAAATTTTTTACCCAAACAAGTGCCGACACATACATCTATTTTCCTCCCATTGTCATTGACACTGTTTGAATAACTTTATCCCTAAGAAAATACAGATATTTCTTGTTTTGTGTGTCATTCTCAATATAGAGAAGATTAGCATGACTCTTGCACAAGATATTTCTTGTTTTGTGCGCGTCATTCTCAATACAGAGGAGATTAGTATGACTCCCAAGGATGACACACACAAATAAAAAATATGATCCAAGTTGGAAGTTATTGTTGTTTGTGCATGTTTCGTCGTGTGTTTTTATCGGAGTGTCTACTCTGATACCGACTTTAACTACTATGAATAGAACCACCTTTAAAACAGACTTGTGAGAGGAAGGTGTTCAATGTGTTTACAAACCTACAAGACATTACACAAGATGTTAAAAATAAGCATGTTACAATTCCATAGTTTAAACTTGTTTTCTCCCCTCTAGTTCTTCTCATTAATGCAAACATTTACAAAAGATATATCCTGTTTATGAAATAGCAGCACTACATTCAACATAAACAAAGGGCAAACTATAATATACAAATCTGTCTTATTTAAAAAAAAAAAAAAATTACAGAAGCAACCTAAGTTTAAAATTACCAGAAATTGTGACTAGGTCTAGTAATTGTAATCAATTTTCCATTCGGGAAATGTCAAGGTAAGACGAAAATGATGTATCAGACTCCGCACTTTCAAGTTCAGCCTGCAAATTAATGCCGGAATCACAAAGTTTTTCCAACAAAAACAGATTAGTAAGGCACAAATTTGAATAAAGGAATGAGAAGAACAAAAAATGGGCAAGTCAAGTACATGTCAAAGTATAGTGCGAGTCATAACAGGAGACAATTAAGTTTATTTGTACTGAAGATAAAGTAGAACAAACATCATTCAACATGTCGTCACAACCAAGAAAAACTATTGGACAATGTGGAGCCTAATCATAATGTACACTTATGTGCTCGACTGTGGCGTAAACTTGAATCACTAAAATCTGTGTATTTTTAATTTTGTTTTGCTTAATACTGCTCAAGTAATTGGAATAGGGCTTAATCTCTAACAGAAATGAGGCATTAGTATATAAGAAGACTGCTATGTTTTATTTGAAGAAATATTAAAAAGAATGCGGATAATTATAGTCATATATACTAAGCATGGAATTGATTATCATTGGAGTAATAAAAATTCCTTAGTTGATCTCCTATCCTAAACTAGTAATAAAATTCAATGTCAATAACAAGATATGAAACTTGAGTTACCTTAGCTTGACGATATTTTTCAAGAATGCGACGATATTGCTGACGAGCCTTTGGAGATTCGACCATAGACAGCACCCTAGAGACAGACTCATCAATAGCAGCATCCACTTTCTGCTTGCGGAAAACCTTAAGGATGTCTTCATCCTCGCTTTTATCAATAAATTCCAAGTCATGTCGAAATCCACGCAGACCAACTCCTCGCCTGCGCCACCTTAGTATTACCTTCTCCAGTACACCAACTGCCCAGCAAACCTTGTAATTCTTCCTAACCTGATAGCCTCTCACATGAGCCTGCAGCAACAAGATCCAAATAAGAGCCACATCCTATATCCTTGTTGAACTAATTTATGGCAATATTTGGGTGATGAGAATTATAGCTTGTTTGGTAGAGGAATAGATAGCATTGGACAGTATTAAAAAGGAAAAAGAAGCTAAATCTAGTCATTTTAGTGTCTAGTCTTGTCCAGTAGCACGTACAAATATCCTATTGCACTGACCGCCCGGGAGGGAGGGAGAGAGAGGGGGAGAGAGAGAGAGAGAGAGAGAGAGAGAGAGAGAGAGAGAGCAGATGAACTCAGAGAAGAAGGTATATATGGTTTTAAGATGATTTTTCTGTCATATCAGCAGATGTTGCTAGAACTACACTTGGTGTGATGCCCTTGAAGACTATAGTGTTCTACTGTTATTTATCTAGCAGATTCATAATTTTGGAGACCCACATTAGTCACGTGATCATTTTTTTCTTTTATTCATCTTACATTTATGTCCTCAATACCGAGTATGCCATCAAGGGAAGGACATTATTTTCTTATCCTACATATTACAAAAGTTCAAACCCTCTCTTTTTTCGTTGAAAACTGCTGATCCTCTATGAGTGAGACAAAGCATTAATGATTTTCTATTACATTCCAAAATAAGAGAGTGGCGTGGTTCGAAAAGATTTAATTTCATCGGATCTTTTTGGAAGATGTGGAAATGGATTGAATGGACTGATCGAAAGGATAGTAGCTTACTCAACATCTGTTGTGGTAAGACTGTTATTGTTTGTTTTATTCCTCATCCAAGTTAAAGTTAGAAGCTGACAAGACATCTTACAAAAATTGGCACAATTTGGGAAATAAATGTTGAGTTCATCCTCTTTACTTGGGAAGAAGTGACACACCTGTATTTTTACTACTTTCTGGCGGAAAGAAAGGAAGTCCTTCCGACCTTTCCAGCCTCGATATTTTTTCTGAATGGATAAAGCAGCCGAGTTGTAATCACGTGTATTGCGGAATGCCAATTTTGATGCAGCTGAAATCACCGGAATATCATTCGATAATATAGTGTACTTATCACCATCAATAGCAACTGTAGCTTCTCTTTGTTGCCTCTTCTGGAATGAATGTGCACGAAATGCTGATTGTATACGTGCCGCAGCCTGAGTCGCATTCCGAACTGCAGCTAAGGTATCCTGAAGAGAATCCCGATCCTCATCCGTATAGGAACTTGTATTTGATATACTATTTACTGTTCTTTCTGCTTCCACAGCAGCAGATCCTTTAGATAGCTGACTTTCTTCCATCGTGAGGGATGAAAGATGACCAGTTAGTGACATTTCTGAAAGATAACCCGCGAGACCTCTGTGTCCATTGGTAGCAGCAACAGATGCAGGGGTTTTACCAGTCGGGTCCTGT